TCCACTAAAAGGGATCAGATCTTGCGTATCACGCGTTTGTGTCTTGCCTGCAAAATAAGGAGAGATGAAAATAAGAACAGTTAGTAACTTTTTCATATATAAGTCACAGGCTTAGTATTTTATGTGCACTGCCCAAAAAATCTGCTGCTTGAAAACAGTGTAGCAAACTAAACCTTTTGTAAACAGTTAAGTTGAGAAGGAGCCTAGAAACGCACAAATAAAATGGGCCCCGTTCTTTGCTACATAACAGTAATATCTAAACAAAGCCCATGTAGTGGTTGACCTGTATTTGTTCAAAGAACTGTTTGGACAAAAACAGTTCGGAAAAGAAAAAAAAAAAGAATTCTTTTAAATACCTTTGTTAGTTAACTCAGAATTTGGAAGTTTTGCTGGCTGGGTTTTCTCCTTGGATTTCTTGGAGAAGTTCTCTGGCTCCTTCACTTTTGTGAATGTACCTCCACATGTCTCTTGATGCTCAGCCCACCAAAAGTCTCGAGCAGAGGGTGCTCTATTCATTGAACGTTTCACATATCCAAAGTAAGGTTTTCTATTTTGACAGGGGCCATTGCATCGCCACCAGTGCTGGCGGTACAAATCCACCTCATCATGAAAAGTATGATAGATCTAGGTTTAAAAAAAGAAAAAAAAAAAAAGAAAAAGAAAAAAAGCAGCCATTCAGAAAGGTTCTGATTTTATATCACTAGCTCTACAGTATTTTTTTAAATGTATGACCATTCCATTCCTTCCATTACTGCTGTGATTTTGACATTACCAGCTAAAAGAGCTGAACCCAGGTGAAGTTTGATCAACATTTAGATATTTTTAAAACAAAGCTTAAAAAAAAAAAAAGACAGGATGTATAGGAATACATTCTGGCTATCTTGTTTGAACTGCAAAAAAAATCACTTCAAAAATCTATCTACAATTTCACCCTAAATGGCACACTGTTTAGAATGCATTTTAAACAATAGCAGTATTGTATTCTCCCTCCAGCTATTATCTTAATTGATGTTATCAGACACATTACTTTAAAATACCATCAACCCATTAGCCTCTACCGATATAAATCCTAACTAAAACAGACTGCTTTTCCTCAAATATTCCCACCATCATCCCCAACAAAATAACTATGGAACTGGCATACACTTGGATGCAAATCTGTACTGGTGCCAACTGTGGAGCGTCTAACAAGAACAAGTATATTACTCATACCACACCAGGCATACTAAAAAACCAAATCAGGAAGAAACCTCTATTAAATTATGTTAAGTGGATTACACTTACTGTAACATTGGCTCCAGTCAAGCGATTAATGCGACGCATGTGTTTGCGGAACTCCGGTCCATGAGATTCACGATCTTTGTCATTATTAGTAACAAAAAGCAGGGCATGGATCATTTCATGCAGCAGTGTCTGAAACGATGCAAATCATTAGCTATTTACTGAAAAGCATTGCATATAGTTTCAAAGTTAAGCTGGAAGTATTTTACTCCTCTACATTTATCTTGATACCGATCTTATTTTCATGCATTCACATGTTCGGTCTGGGTCATAAAAACTAATACTTATTCTACCTATCAAATCAAATTACCTCTATTCCCATACCACCAAAACATGCTGGAGAATATTACTACAATAAATGACATTCCAAAAAGGAGAAACAATCCTCAAACTTAAGTCAGATCTTTAAGAGATCATCCCCTCCACAACCGAAAAAGAGACACTTGTAAGAAAGTTGAAGCTCTACAGCATTTCTGTTCATTAAGCAAATCCAAATGTTGAGCCAACTCAAAGCAGCAGCCCTGACAGAGGCACAAGAAGCAACACAAAGTTATGTTTAGAGTCATATTCTGTATCCTTATTTTCTGCTGTTGGGCTTTTGACCTAAAAGATGAAACTACAGCCATTTTCTGATGGTGCTTTCAGTCCATATTTATTTTTAAAATCAGAGGATAATTTAGGAGTAAAAACAGTTGGTTGTTTTTTTCTTTATAAAGTCAGTAAAATAAACAAGTGACTTTAGACTCCTACTCAGAGTTGCCCATTTAGAAACATAAAACTGAAAGATTATCATGATATTGCAACACAAGCAACACAAACGTGACAATAAAGCTATCACTATTTTATGATCTATAAGTCACTGCATAGAAGAATCCCACTATGAAATGTAAAATGTTTGTATGGAGTGGGGGGGTGGCACAATACATTTTTATGTGCAGATTCATGAGCAACCTTCAAATACCTCAACGAGATCCTTCCTTGGTCTTAACTTTAGGAGCGGCTCACTTAGACGAATGGAACACATTCCACCTCTCCCCTCATATCTACACACTCCAGCACAGCTGAAAGAGACACAGAAAGAAAATACGAAAAGCTGCTTGTTTCTGTGGAACATGAAGAAAATTGAGAATTGGCGTTAAAACGCCATCCCCTTCCAACATATGCTAGGTAATTCAGAATACAAAAACCCGCTTTTAGTAGTTACTTGAAAAACTCAACATCATTAAGCAAAAAAAACAAAAAACCAAAAAACAAACAAGCGCACAAGTTCCTTATTCTAATAAGCTGTGACTGAACCGGCAAAAGTGAAACTAGAATTTATTAGATCTCTTACAAGCGCTTAATTCAAAGCTAGCAATCCTGGGAAAAAAAAAAAAAAAAAAAAAACAAACAACAAACACAATGGACTGTTCCAAGCTGACCTGTTTAGGAGGCAGAGGACTGTTTTCATTAGAACCCCCGATGAAGTGAAATACATAAAACAGAGGCTGGAAATTCACAGCAGCCAACACCGAATTAACTGCTGGTTGGTGCAATTTCACCCCTCACCCTCCCCCAACTTTTGACTCTTACTGAACCTCACATATCATCACTTCTGCATGCTAATCCAGCAGAAAACACTTTCTTTTTTTTTTTTTTGTTACTGAGTTAGTCCTCTACCCGTTCAGTATCCAAATATTTTCAAGTGTCTGAAGAGCACTGTGACCAGCAGAGCACAAGATGGGGCAGGGCTCCAGCAGCCAGTAATTGCATCAGCTGGTCTGCTGCAGAACTGCAGCCTGCACTTCAAAGCTTTTGGTTTTTTGTTTTTTTTAATCTCAGGTTTCCTGTATATTCCCCTTCCTAGTCTACTCTAAGTCTTGTTAATATACTATTATCATTTCATATTTCCCTTTCTGCCGTGCTGTAAAACTACCGTAAAAACTGAAAACAAGAACAATAACAGCAATGCAAGTATGTTCTTTTAAGTTTCAATATACACAGTTTAAGACCAAGTTATTTATTCCACTTTAACGTCTCCCTTGGTTTGCCTGCACCATAGGAAAAGCCATTTGTGGCTGCCGAGGACGACAAATGAAGGACAAAACAGACAACGACGGTGACCAACCGACCTCCTGGGGTACAAACTGTGTTAGAAAATTCAAACATCTGGAAACATTCCAATATCTGGAAGAGAAGCTGTGGCACCAATACACCGTGCCTACGAAGTCGCTGTGAGGAGCGGCACAGGGTGACAAGTGACAGCTTTTCCTCCCCCCCCCCCCCCCCCCCCCCCCCCCCACACCTACATGCCTACAGCTCTTTCTTTTTGTGGCCGTGCGTCCCAC